AAAAAAAAAAAAAAAAAAAAAAAAAAAAAAAAAAAAAAAAAGGAATATAAAGTTCAGTTATCTTCAATAAATTACTTGTTGTGTAAGATTGTCATTCATTTTTCCTCTTCTTCAAGCCCGACTTGGAGAAACACTCATCTGCTGGAGATTCACCCTTCCCTCGGCCAAATAGGGCTCCTGCCCAGGGCCCTGGAGCACCTGCTGAGAGAGGCCCGCCTCGCCCTCAGGCCCACAACTCCCAGCGGCCTGGCCCAGCTGGAATGTGGTGTCCTGCAGCAGGCCCTGAACCTGTGGCTGACGCCAAGCAAGCGGGAGGCCTGGTACAGCGCGCAGCTCCAGAGAGATGTGGGTTCTTCCTGCGGGGGGCAGTTGGTCCTTGGCAAAGAAGACATTTCCTCCCAGATGTTACTATTTAGCTTTATTTCTCTGTTTGGCTTTATTCTTCTCTGTTTGGCCAGAGATAGAGAATAGTCATGGGCCTTGCCAACATTTTTATGTGATTTGGGGGTGGGGGGGTCAAATTTTCTAGTATATAAGAGCACTGCTAAAATTTAAAAAAAAATGGATCACATAAGTATGTGAAAAATATTTTCTGGTTTACTATTTACATTTTAACAATACGCGTTTTAAATTAAACCTTACATATTTCCTTCCCATTAAGTCTCTTTCTAAAATCTGCTTTGTGAATCTTGAGTCAAACTTCAATTCAGGGGAGAATATACTTAGGAGGCAAGGACCTAGACTCAAGTTCATCCCTGCTATTAACTTGCTGTGTGACGCTGGGCAAGTATCATAGCCTCTCTGGGCCTCACCTTCCTCTCGTAGGATAACAGTTGTGTGTCTGGGCAGAAGTCAGTGGAGATGCAAGCGTTAGCCACTCTCTAGCATCCCTTCCTCCGCTGTCTGATGGCTCAAGCTGTGCCCCAGTGATTTTGATGGCGCCTGCAGCTGGGTTTTGATGCTTTTCCTTTTCTATGAAGACTGAATATGGCTCCCATTTCCCCTTACTCTGTGGGTGCTTGCTGTACTACAGAGGAGCTTTCAAGAGCCCTAGCTGCCAAGATTATCTGCCCTGCGCGCCTGCCTCGGCTTCCTATCTCTTCCTGCCCAAACTAGAATTCAGTTTGATTTAAAATTAATTTTAAGTTGATGAAAAATACAAAATTACAGAGAATTGTCTCAAAAGAAGAAAGAACAGAAGTTAGCCTAAATATAACTAACCACTCAAATGTACTCATGATAATTTTTCTGAATTCAAATAGTCTTTTTATGACTATTTTCCATAAACATTTACTTTGTACACAGACATCTACTATTTTTCTCAGTTAATGTTATATGTTTTCCATTTTACTAATTAACCTTCAATGTAGCTGCAGAACCGTATAATTCTCTTAAATCACACTCCTTTAACCATTTTCCTATCGGTGAGCATTCAAGTGGTTTTGTTTTTGTTGTTGTTGTTGTTTATTTATATATATATTTATGTATTTATTGGTTTTTTGAGACAGGGTCTCACTATGTAGTTGAGACTGACCTGGAACTCACTGTGTAGCCCAGGCTGGTCTCGAACTCACAGCGATCCTCCTACCTCAGCCTCCCGAGTGCTGGAATTACAGGCATGCGCCACCATGCCCAGCCTGTTTTTTATTATTAAAGATGCTAAAAAGTACATTTTTACTTACGGATTTTTTCCATATTTTGAATTGATTTCTCTTGATAGAATCTTGGAAGGAGAATTGCTGAGATGAAATTTCAGTCTTGGTTACATACTGGTAGATTACTTTCCAGAGGAGTTATGCCAACTCATAATACCGCCGAGGACATCCGAGGGAATCACTGTGCCTCCGTGTACAGTACAGTATTAGATGAAAGCATATCATGCATGTGCTCATCTACACATGCACATAAGAGGAGCCACTGTGCTCCTAATTTACCTTTCCTCATTGTATATTCAGATTATTCTTGCAAATGCTTTATTATCTGTAATTTTTGAGAATTTTGCGTTATTTTCTTTGGTTCGTGCATCTGTTGGAATACCGATGTCATTCTTATTTACATACATGAGTTTTACTTACATAAAAACTTCAGTCTTTTTGCCCATCATATTGATGGCAAATATTCTCCCATTTGTCTTTCTATTTTTTTAACAGAAAACTCTTATTTTCACATAATCAAATCTGTTGATCGTGTCCGTTGTGATTTCTTCTAGCCTCCTAAATGCAGAAAAAAAAAATCTCCAGATGTTTCATATTTCATTCTAATTTTATTATCTTAGTTTGCTCTAATGTTAAGGGTTTGTTTTCTAACTATTTTTATTTATTTATTTTTTGGTACCAGGGATCGACCTTAGGTCCTTGTGCTTACAAGGCAGGCAGTGGAACCACTGAGCCAAATCCCCAGCCCTGTTTTTATTTTTAAAATATATAACTCCTGCCTGGGTATGGTGGCGCATGCCTGTAATGCTAGCACTCAGGTGGCTGAGGCAGGAAAATTGCTCAAAGTTTGAGGCCAGCCTGGCCTATACAGTGAATTCAAGCCCAGCCAAACTACACAGCAAGACCCTATTTCAAAATAAATAAATAAATAAAATAAAATATGTAACTCCTTTACTATTTCTTTAGAGAGAAAGAGAGAATATGTGTATGCAGTGTCCGTCTTGATCAAAATTGGATTTTTTCTCAAATTACCAGATAATTATCCTACTACTGTTTACCGGGAATCCTTTTTACATTGTCTAATTATGCTACATTTAAAAAACCTATTTGAGCTGGGCGTGGTGGCACACACCTATAATCCCAGCCCTTGGGAGGCTGAGGCAGGAGGCTCACAAAAGTTCCAGGCCACCCTGAACTACAGAGTGAGACCCTGCCTCAAAAAAAATCTACTTGAAATTCTTTTATGAATTATAACAAATATATAAAACACCTATTTATTCTCCTATTGATGCCAGTTTTGATTATTATTTTTCAAATTTGTTCAACTGGAAATGCTAAATGTTCAGATTAGCCGGGCGTGGTGGTGCACGCCTGTAATCCCAGTACTCAGGAGGCTGAGGCAGGAGGATCACTGTGAGTTTGAGACCAGCCTGGGCTAGATAGTGAGTTCCAGGTCAGTCTCAACTACGTAGTGAGACCCTGTCTCAAAAAATAAATAAATAAATAAATAAAATGCTCAGATTAATCTTTTGTGTTAGTTTAGAAAATGGAGGAAGTGTTGCCCTCAGAAGATATGCAAGGGAAAAAAAAAGAAAAGAAAGAAGACACACAAGAATTTAATGTAACTCTTTGTTATTGATGGAGAAAACTGTGAGAGTCTGGAAGCTGTGTCCTTGATTGGACAAGTCCTTTAGTACATAAGGGGTAGTGAGGCAGCCCGTGCAGTTGGGGGCCCAAACCAGGGAAGGCGGAGAGAGTGTCTACAAACGAGGTTCTTTTTGGGGAGTGGCATTAGAGGACAGCAAAGATGTCAGAGCAGAGGACATGCGCTCTTGTGGCCCATCCAGGCTGGCTCCAAGGGAAGGAGAACTGTGAAAGCAGTTGGGAACCCCACGCGCCTCCTGCACACAGAACTGGGAAGCTCCGCTTAGTCTCGGTAGTGCTGTGTGACGCTTGGAAAGTTGCTTCAGATCCCTTGTGGGTGCAGAAGTATATGATATCCGTGATGCCTACTCATGAGGACCTGGGGAAAATAAAAATGAGTAGGCATGTGTGAAAATACTTCGAAATTTTGAAACTTCAATTAGAGGAGTTTATAACATTTGGCCAGATAACTGTTGCATTAAATCAGGGACTTCTATTCATATTATCTTGCCATTTCTGTTCTTTGTTTAGACTCAAAACATTTATAATGATAACGGTGTCTATTTCTGCATGTTATCTCAGCCCTCTCAACACCCCTCTGAGTGACTATTATCAGTTTGTGTCTGGTAGGTACTGGCATTGTCCTTACCTCTACTCTAGAGACGAGGAAACTGAGAGACAGCAAAACTGAGTAAATTGCTCAAAATTCCAGTGTGTCAGAGCCAGGACTTAAGGCTAGGAGATTTAGATCCAGGGCTGAGGACTCTGATAGCATGGCTTTGTTTTTGTTTTTGTCTTATATGTGAGGTTTCTTCTTTTGTGTTTTGAAAGTACGTTGTTTTTCTTTCAGCTCTTTTCAGCTAAAGTGATGGGAGACCCCTTTCTTGTGGAGGAGATAGGCCTTCTTGCACTCAAGTCTGTCACAGATGAAGGGCAGAAACAAGGCCGTGATTCTCATGTGCTGCTCCTGGAGACGTTTTCCAAGCTTTTGGAGCTGCTGACCCTCCGTCACCGGCTGATAGAAATGAGTCTGGAGAGTGCACACTTAGCTCGGTCAGTGGGGGAGCCAAGGAGCCACATGAAACATGAGCTTTTGGCAAGATGTGGTGAATAACTAGCAGACCCCAGGTCTCCAGCCTCAGACCTGGCCCCTCTTTGCCCCCAAAGTAGCCACAGCGAGTTTTCTAGTTGGCCAGCTTGCTCCTCTGTTCTTTCTTCTGAGCCTCCCCACCTGCCTCTGACCACTCAGCTGCGCTAGATCTTCCCAGTGGCACCCAGGCACCCTTTGCATCCGGTATGTGTCCTTCTAATTAAATGCTTAATGAGGTTTTTTCAAGTTTCCAGGTAGCAAAAGCTCCCTGAATGCAAATGCCCTGTGCATGTTGTTTACTGCAATAGTCTGTTACCTGGTATCTGTCCACTTCGTGCAGCTGTAACTGAACACTCAAGACTGGGTAATTTATGAAACACAGAGATTTATTTGTTACTCTTCTGAAGGGTGGAAAGTCCAAGGCTGAGGAGCCCACGAGGTCCTTGTTGCTGCAACATCTCTCAGCAGAATGCAGAGGAGCAGCAGAACACGTTCTCGCATGTACATGCACAGGAGGAGGAGAGGAGAGGGAGGGAAGGAGAGGAAAGGGAGACGGGCCAGAGTCACCCTTTCGTCAGGAGCCCACTCCCACAGTAACTCACCTACTTCTTTGACAAAAGCAAGGCCCTCACAACCTAGTCATCTCCCAAAGCTCTCACTCTCGGCACTGTCATAGTGGGGGTGAGTTTCCAACACACAAACTTTGGAAACATGTTGAAACCGGAACACACCTGGTACTCTAGGAATGTTGGCTAAATATCTCCCAAATATAATGAAGTTGAATACTAGAGGGCCTACAGAAAGAAGAGAAGAGTCAGTGGCAGTCTCTAGGTCTGACAGAGGTATGGGCTGTTCGGCAGGTAGGAAGAAAGACAGGTTAATGAGTTATGCAGTTATAAGCATCAGATGATGTAAGACGTCCAATGAACATAAGCAGGAGGCTTGTAGAGTTAGAGGGCTTGTTGCAAACACGTATGGGTATTATTATGTTCTGCTCCCCATAAAAGATCCGATAGACACACATAGAGTCCAGTCACCATTGGCCGTTATCAAGCACTTGCTGTGGTCAGAATCCTTACCAGGCAATTTATGTGTGTATTTAATTTAATTCTCAGAATATCCTTATGAGACAAATGCAAACACTTTCTCTGTAAGAAAAAAGATGCTTATAAAAGTTAAATACTTTGCCCAAGATCATATCAGAAAGAAGTAGAAATGGAATTTGAACTATTAGTCAAGATATTTTTGCCTCTCCAACCACACCTCTCCATAATTTATGATCTTTGCTCTCAAGGAGCTCACAATGTGAAAATCACCCACCATATTGTATAATAATGATATTCTATCATCTGGACAAAATACTGTGGGAATACAGGAAAGGGATTGTCATTTTTTTTCTAAGTAGACTGGAGAAAGCTTTATGTAAGAAGGACTATTATAGATTGAGTTATATCCTTCCAAGATTCATATGTTTAAGGACTAATCCCTAATACCTCTGGATGTGATCTTATTGAAAGATCTTTTTAAGAGGTAATCAAACTAAACTAAAGTTATTAGGGTGGCCCCTCAATCAATATGACCCATGTCCTTATAAGAGGAACTTTGACATAGACCAGGGCAGGAAGACTATATGAAGGCACAGGGAGAAGACAGCCATCAATAAGGCAGGGAGTTAGGCTGGAACCACAGCCCTCAGAAGGAACCAGCTCTCCTGACACCTGAGTCTCAGGCTTCTGTCTTCCAGAACTGTGAGACAATACATTTCTGTATTTAAGCTACTATGGTTCTGTGGTCCTTTATTACAGCAGCGCTGGCAAACAAATAGGAATGTCAACTGGACTCAGCCTTAACACACCAACATCTTAAAATGAGAAATGTGTTAGAGTGAGGCTGTGCAGGGAGAAGGAAAGCACTGTAGACATATAAGGCTGGGCTGCCAGAGAGATACCTGAACTCAGCCACACACACTGCAAGCCACGGAAATGTGGAACTCAGGCTCAGAATGGAATCAGGACAGAGACAAGGGCCATAGGTTCTTATAAAATGGGATGGTTTTAGTGCCTGGGGTTAAATAAAGTCCTCAAAAAGATATAGTAGAAGAAGACCAGTGATCAGGAACCCTGGGAAGCACCAGCATTTGAAAATAAAGAGGAAGCCAGGCATGGTGGAGCATGCCTGTAATCCCAGCACTCTGGAGGCTGAGGCAGGAGGATCGCTGTGAGTTCAAGACCAGCCTGGGCTACATAGTGAGTTCCAGGTCAGTCTCAACTACATAGTGAGACCCTGTCTCAAAACAAACAAACAAACAAACAAAAAAAGAAAATAAAGAGGAAAAAGCACTGAAGACTGCAAAAGAAAGGTTGTACAGCAGGAGTGTGGAGATCCCGAATCCAGGAGAACTAAGATAGTCTTTAAGAAGTGGGCAGAGAGGAACCATCCTAAGGAAAGGAGAGTCCCAAGCTCATCTCTTCCAACTGTCCACTAATGTCAGTAACAGTCCCAGCCTCCGTGCCTCATTCACTTCACCCGGGACTTTGGCTTACTCTTACTTGACTGTTGCCCTTGTTCTTACTCAGGTTTTTTGTTTGCCTACCATTTACTTTTCCTTTCCGGGTAAAACACTAGCAAATGTTCTTGGCTTTTTCTTCTTCTTCCTAGGCTCTATAAGGAATGGGCATGGGAGATGGGTTTTGAAGAGTTCCACTTGCATCTGAGACCTGTTCACTTTGAATTTGCATCACACAAAGACAAGGTGGACCAATCAGCTCCTGTCTTTATAACTTCTCTGCTGGAGGACAGTGGTCGAGTAGACAGGTGAGCCTTGAGAGGGTCAAAGTGAAAATACTTTTTTTTTTTTTTTTGGTACCGGGGATCAAACTCGGGACCTTGAACTTGCAAGACAGGTGACGGAACCACTGAGCTAAATCCCCGGCCCTAAAGTGAAAATACTCTAAGGGAAGAATAAACAACTAGCAAAATTAATTCCTGTCTCCATTGGAAACACAACTGCAGTTGCATTTCTAGATTCTTTCACTTATGCTTTATTGTCATGATGCCAGTGTTTTGTTTTGTTTTGCAGTATTGGGGATTAAAAGCAGGGACTTCTCCCGGGGATACATCCCCAGTCCGTTTTTAGTTTTAGTTTTTATTTTAACACAGGGTCTTGCTAAGTCATTAATTGCCCAGTCCGGGCTTAAACTTGCAATCTTCCTTCCTTGGGCTGCCAGAATGCTAGGATTGCAAGCATGTGTTGCCACACGTAGCTTTGCTTGATTTCTCTTTCTCTTTCTCTTTCTCTTTCTCTTTCTTTTCTTTCTTTCTTTCTTTCTTTCTTTCTTTCTTTCTTTCTTTCTTTCTTTCTTTCTTTCAGTAAGAAGACAGAAAACAAGATCTTAATTAAGGGAACAATTGATTTTAAAAATACCGAGTCACTGAAAAGTGAAAGAACCCAGTCAGGAAACTCAAATGGAACTACAGGCTTGGTAGCTTCCCAAGTAGAACAATGCACTTCCAGGTAGAAAGGAGGTCAATGGGAAAGAGCCATAATGTTCAAGTCTCTTTTCATTCTTTTGTTAAATTTTCAGAGTGACTTGGCTTCTGTGTGGTCAGACCTCAGGTAAGGCTAGGTCTCCAATTAGCTCTACCACTAAGCTAAAATCTCTAGCTCTTTTTAACATTTTATTTAAAATTTTTATTTTTATTTTGTTTGTTTATTTTGAGACAGGGCCTTGCCATGTAGTACCCTACCCAAGCTAGGGTAGTCTTGAACTCACTATATGGAGCTCAGGCCAATCTTGAACTTTTGGCTGTTCTCCTGCCTCAGCCTCCCAAGTGCAGAGATTACAGGCATGAGACACCATGCCTGGCCTTAAATTTTTATATTAAAAAGTCTTGCTAGGGCTGGGGAGTTAGCTCCGTGATTCTGTCACCTGCCTCTCAAGCACAAGGTCCCAAGTTTGATTCCCAGTACCAAAAAAAAAAAAGTCTTGCAAAGTTGCTGTCCTCAAACTTGCATCCTTCTGTTTCAACCTCCTGAATAATTTGGGTTAGAGGTATGTACCACCACTTCCAGCACGGAATAAGCATCTCTCTTTCTTTCTTTCTTTCTAACTTTTATTTTTTATTAGTACATATTTGTATTACCCAATGATTGCATTCCTTGTGGGAAGCTGGCACGTGTACATCACACATCATAATTCTTTTCTCATCCTCTTCCCCTCCCCTCCTCTTCCCTCCATCTCTTGGTCCCCTACCCCTTTACAAAAGATCTATCTTCCTATTTCCTGTTACCTATCATTTATTTTGTTCAATATTTGTACTTTGGGATTCTCATGTAAGATAAACCATACAATATCTACGCTTGTGGTTTGATTTATCTCACTTAATATCAGGTCTCAAGATGTATCCATTTCCCTACAAATGACACAAATTTATCCTTCCTTATGGGAAAGTGTATAAACACACTCATGGTGTATAAATGCCATATTATCTGTATCTAGTCACCTGTCCGTAGACATACAGGCCACTTCCAAGTTTCAGCTATTGTAATCTGCTGCGCATGTCACTGTAACATAAAGGTTTAACTCTTCGGGAAGATACTTGGGAGGGGAATAGCTGGGTCAAACAGAATTTTTTGTTTTAGTTTTTTGAAGAAACTCCACATTGACTGTCATAATGGTTGCACTAGTTTTTATTCCCACCAACAGTGTAGAAGGGTTCTTTTTTCCCTGCAGCCTTGACACCATTTGTTATTATTTGCTTTCTTGATGATGGCCATTCTTTCGGAAGTAAAATGGAATCTCAGTGTTGTTTAATTTGCATTTCTCTATTGGCCAGAGATGTTGAATTTCATGTAATACTTCATGTATTACCCATTATACTTCCTCTGAGAAGTGTCTATTCATTTCAGTTGCCCATTTTTTGATTTGGTCTTTTATTTTAGGGGATCTAATTATTTTGAGCTTTTTATGTATTCTAGATATTATTCCTCTGTCTAATTAGTTCACCATTCTGTAGGTTATCTCTTCACTCTTTGTTTCTTTTGCTGTTCAGAAGCTTTTTAATTTGACATGATACATATTTGTATTGATGTTATTTCTCATGCAATTGAAACTCTGTTCAAAAAGTCCTTACCTACAGCTATGACTTCAAGAATTTCTAAGTGTATTGCTTTAGGTCTTTTCTTACCTTTTTTTTATAAGATTGGTTAAGGTGTGTCTATATTGCTTTTCTTTCAAAGAACTAGCTCTTTGATTCATTGATTCTTGGTATTGTTCTTTAGTCCTAATTTCATTAATTTCTACTCTGATCTTTATAATTTCTTCTTTCCTTGTACTAGCTTTAGATTTGGATTCTTCTTGTTTTCCTAGGACTTTGAGGTTCATCAGTAGGATTATTTATTTGGAATCCCTCTATTTTTCTGAGGTATGCATTTACGGCTATAAACTTCCCTCTCAGGACTGTTTTCATTGTGTCGCACAGTTCTGGTAAGTTTTACTGCCATTATTGTTTGATTCTAGGAATTATTTAAGTCCTAGAATTAATTTCTTCTATGACATTGATTATTTGAGAGTAATTGTGTACTTTCTATACGTTTGCAGAATTTCTGGGGTTTCTTTTGCCATTGATTTCTAGTTTCATTGTGCTATATGATCTAATAATGCCCACATGATAACTCTGATTCTTCTGCATTGATAACCCAATTCTTTATGGGCTAGTATGTGATCTGTTTTGGAGAAAGTTCCATGGGCTACTTTTGTATGTGCATTCTGTTGTTGGGTGAAATATTGTGAAGATAGCTATTAAGTTCACTTGTTCAATATTTTGCTTCAAATCTGATTTTTCTTTGTTGATCTTTTGTCTAGTTGATCTGCCTATTTTTTTGCTTTTGTTTTTGTTTTGTTTTGGTTTTTTGGTACTGGGGATTGAACTGGGTCTTTGCCCTGGCGGTGGCACCACTGAGCTAAATCCCCAGCCCTGATCTGCCTATTTGTGACAGTAGGATTTTGAGGTTCCCTGCTACAATTGTGTTGTTATTTATCCGAATTTTTAGGTCTAGTACAGTAGTACTTTGGTTCATGAGCTTAATTTTGGGAAAGATGGCCACATTCATGCTCATGTAGGAAAGATAGCCATGCTCGTGTTTATCACCCAATGCAGAGTTCTCAAACACAAACAAAATTTCACCAAACATTTCTGTCTGTGAACCACATTGTTTGCAAACAAAAGGGTTCGTGAACTGAGGTACCACTGTAGTATTTGTTTTATGAAGTTGGGCACATATGTGTTTGGTGCATATAGGTTTATAATTGTTATCTCTTCCTGTTGAACCGTTACATTACCCCATATGTACAGCAAGTCCCTGACTTATGAACATTTGAGTTGTGAACTTGCACAAATACGCATGGGCCGTTTATTATGAACATTTGTAGATGGGAACAAATCGTGGAAGCAGCTAACGAGTCTACTTTACCATTTTAAGGGAACTGCAAAAGTGAAAATAGTTTATTTATAGTATTTGTGTATACATATTTTTTATGCTTTATGTTGTATACCTGTGTTAAAGGTGAATAAGATTCACTTTGTCAGACTTACAAATGAATCTGAATTACAAACATTCTCCTGAGATAGAATTCACTCATAAGTCAAGGACTAAGGTAATGACCTTCTTTGGCTCTTTTGATCAGTTTTGCCTTGAAGTTCATTCTGTCTGAAAATAGGATATCTATTTCTACTTGTTTTCAGGTTCCTGATGTATAGAATATTGTTTTCTATCCCTTGATTTTTAGTCTGTGAATTTATTTTTTGATTAAATATGCTTCTTATATAAACATCCTGTTGGATTTTGTTTCTTGATCCTTGCTGCCAATCTATATTTTCTGATTGGGAAGTCAGAACTATTAATATTGAGACTTATTACTGTCATTACATTATTTTCCTGTGGCTGATTCTCTTTTTTCCCTTATGTTTAACAGCGTCCTCTGCTGATATATTCATTGGCATTGTTAGCTTCATTTTCTCTTAAAGACATCCTTGAGATTTTTTTTTTTTTTTTTTTAGTGCTGGTTTGGTGGTCATAAATTTTTTAATGTGCTCTTTGTCATAAAAAGACCTTATTTCTCCATCAGTTTTGAAATGTAGTTTTGCGGGCTATATCAGTTTTCTTTTAGGGCTTGCAGCACTTCACTCCAAGATCTCCTGGCCTTAAACTTTTTGTTGAGAAGTCTGCTGTGATTCTAATGGGTTTATCTTTACAAGTGATTCATTGCCTTTCTCTAACAGCTTTTAAGATTCTGTGCTTGTGTTGGACTTCTGGTATTTTGACTATGATGTGTTGTGGCAGTTTCTTTTCTGACTGTAACCATTTGGGGTTCTATATGCCTCACTTATCTGCATGTTAAGTTTTTTCTTTGTATTTGGAAAGTTTTCTACTATTATCTCAGTAAACAGATATTTTATGCCATTTGTGCTGTCTTCTGATTTTTCACTAACTCCCATTAATCTTTGTCTTTTTTGCATCGTCCATCAACTGTTGGATCCATTTTTCATGCTCTCTGGTTGTCTTTAAGGTATCTCTGAGTAACTGGTCACCAATATCAGCCCTATCTTCTATTTTTGGTAGTCTATCCTCACACTGGTCACTTTTGCTGCCTATACTTTCAAAAGAATTTTTAATCTCTTGGATTTCTGTTTGATACCTTTTCATAGACTCTTAATTCTTTGCTAACCTTGTCATTCATGTTTTATGTCATTATTTTTTTAGCTCAGCTAGCTTTTTATTAATTAGCATCTTTTGTAAACTTGCTGATCATTCTGTTTATGAAGTCCATTATCTATTTAGCTGTATCTTCTTTGAGCTCACTGAGTACCTTATTGATCTTTGTTTTTTTTGTTTTTTTTGTTTTGTTTTGTTTTTGGTTTTTTGAGACAGGGTCTCACTATGTAGTTGAGACTGACCTGGAACTCACTATATAGCCCAGGCTGGTCTCGCACTCACAGCAATCCTCTTGCCTCAGCCTCCCGAGTGCTGGAATTACAGGTATGTGCCACCACGCCCAGCCTTGATCAATTTTTTTTATGTTCTCTTTTATCATTTTGAATAACTCGGCATTGTGGCTTTTTATTTCCTCCCCCATGATGCCCTATGTATCAGCTTTAGGAGTGTTGGAAGTTTTGGGAAACATTTTGTTGCCTTGTCTTTTATATTTCTATTGCTCTGTGTGTGTGTGTGTGTGTGTGTGTGTGTGTGTGTGTGTGTGCTGAGGTTTATGGGTTGATTATGGTAAGAAAGACTTTGTTGCTCAAATAAAGACATGTTAATGTCTGCTTCCCGGGATGCATTCTGAACATGGCTAACTACCGGCTTTTGCCTCTGTCTCAAAAGTAAACCACCTCCATTAATTTGGGAGTGGAGAGTACAGTGTAATTAACCCAGCACCCAGTTGTCTGGGAATGGACAGCAGTATTCTTAATGAAACAAAGGCAATCCAGATATTGGCATACACAGAAAAACAATAGGCAACAATTATGCCACCCTGGCAATAGCAATAAAAATAGCAACAATAGTAGTATCGATGACAAACTGGATATTAACATAGCATTAAGGCCGGGCATGGTGTCTCATGCCTGTAATCCCAGCACTTGGGAGGATGAGGCAGGAGAATTGCTGAAAATTCAAGGCCAGTCTGTGCTACATAGTAAGTTCAAAGCCAGCCTGTACTACACAATGAGACCCTGTCTCAAAACAAACAAATAAGCAAAAAAACTCCACATAACATTAAAGACCAATAATATACAATTTAACCATATAAAAGGGATCTATTTTTATAGTAGACACACTGAGACAAACCAAATATTGAAATATAGTAAATATAGTGGTAATTGCTATACCTCCACTATACCTCCACTAACAATAGAAAATAATCCAACATTTGTAGCATGGAGTTAACTACCTAAAGGTTAATCAAACTTAAAGATTATACTAGTAAAGATAAAGAAGGTGAGGAATGGGAGAATGAAAAGGTAAAATTTGAAGAATAAAGCAATTGGTAAACCAGGCATGGTGGTGCTCTCCTGTAATCCCAGCACTCAGGAGGCTGAGGCAGGAGGATCACTATGAGTTCGAGACCAGCCTGGGCTACATAGTGAGTTCCAGGTCAGTCTCGACTACATAGTGAGACCCTGTCTCAAAAAACAAGCAACAACAACAACAACAACAAAAAAGCAAAATAAAGAAGAAACGAGGAAAAAATCTCAAACCCCAGAAAACCAATAATGAAAAAAATATGAGCAAAAGAAAAATTCTTCTGCATTTTTGAATGACTGGTTTCTTTCTAGGATATTCAGTCTTCAAATCCAGTAAGTCACAGATTTCTCTGCCTATATTTTCAGCCTGAAGGTTTATAAGGTGACCCCTGCTCCAGAGGCACCTTTAGCCTTACACCCCGGGCCATGACAACTACCCAAGCTGAGGTGTGTGTCCTTACTCATTTAGTGGACAGCAAGATCAATCAGACAGATTATTGGCCTCTGTGCTGTGTATAGGCAGCAAAGTGGGGATCCAAGCAGACATTTGGACTTAGTGACAGCACTTTCAGATCCAGACACCTCTGAAAGCCACACACACTAGTCCTGGCTTCTCAACACAGAAGGTGGAGCTCTGTTTCCCTCCCAGCCTCAGCCCAAACCTCTCAAGGAATCTATGGCCAGCTTGCATCCTCTCCATGATTGTCTTTTATGGCTGTCTTTTACCCAGTCACTGTGGTCGGGTAGCATTGGAAACCCTGAAGTGAACTTTTTCCGAGGTTGTTCTATGTCTCAGTTCCAAACCACCAGCCCCTTTCCAGAGCTGCTCCTGATCACACCATCTAAATACAGTAAGCACTGCTCTGGATTTCTTCTCCAACTGTAGCCTGCCATGTGGAAGGAGTCACTTTCGGAATAAAACCTAATGCTGTTTTTGCAGTTTACAATACTGATGGAATTTCTTGAGGATAGCACTGCTGGCCCAGTCTGTTATTTCTCTCGGGAGCTGCTGACCCTTCAGGCTTACCTTCTCTCTCTTTGTTGGTCTTTCAATGATCAAGTCAGTACATCAGCAACTCTGCTGCCCCATGCCAAGGAGAAACAAAATACAGAGCCAGTCTAAAGTTGGCCGTGGCAGCGGCCAGGTTGCAGAGTCTACAGATGTGGAGTTGGCCAGGTTCCAACGTGGCTCTGGAGAGTTTCAGAGTCTCTGGGTCTGCAAGCCACCTGCTCTGTGGCTGCCGTTTCTTGCAGGCAGGGGCGGCTCACTCAGGAATGGGTATCTCTTGATTTGCAGCGTGTCACATCAAAGCAACCTAATGTTTCTTCTTGCAGATACTCTCCTAGTACTCTTGTCTTAGCCATCTCTGAGGTGGATGATAACCAGATTGGCAAATTTAGTTTTTATGCAAAAGAAGCCATCCTTAAGGTAAATTATTTATTTCTTTTAAAAGAAACTAGAGTAAAAAAAATTTTTTTAATCGATATTTATATACATTTGGCTTGTATTTATTAAAAAAAAAGCTTTACTTCATTAATCATAATGTTGACCTTGCCTTACTGATGTGCACATTGGCCTGATTTGAACAGCAGAGACCACCATACCACATATAATGACTTCTGTTAAATAGGAAAAAGAAGCACATATAGCGAACCATTTCTGCAGCAGGCTCTTAAGCTACACATTTGTTACTGGAACTTTTAACTGATCTTTTTAAGTCTGGTGCTATTTCTTCACTGTGTCATAGTCATTTTCTCATCACTGGGACACCAACAACTTTAAGGAAGAGAGGTCCATAGTCAGCTGGCTCTAAGACAGGAAAGACATGGTGGGAGGATCTGGCGAAAGAAAGCTGCTCATGTCGTGGCCACCAGTAAGGAGACAGTGAGGAAGAACCTGGCGAGAGACACCCCTTCCAGATCGTGCTGCGTATGATCTGCCTTTTCCAAACAGACCCCATCTCCTAACACCACATTCAGCTCTGGACCCTAGAGTACATCCATCACTTCACTCATAGCCCCTGATCCAGTCACGTTCCAAAAGCCCTGACCCTGAACACATGGCTATTTTGGGGATATTCCAAATCTAAATCAAAGCATCTTGCCACTTGGCTTGCAAGACCCTGCTATCAAGCCCATGTGGTCCATCAGACTAATCCTTTCCTGACCACTGGGGGAATCATCATAGTGTCCAGCTACAGAGCAGTTCAGGCCTGGAGACTGCGGCATGAAATGCTGCTCTGGGAGAGACCAGATTTGGTGCGATGACTGGGAGGCAAGAGCCCGGCTCGTACTGCAGGTAAATTCACACACATATTTACATACTGATGGTCTCAACCCTCAATGTTACCTCTTTCTTTATGGGAGCAGTTCCTAATGCCTTTCACATTTTTTCTTTAGCTTTTGTTTCATTCAGGGGTGGAAAATATGCAAGTGACCCTTGCATGCCAAGCTGCTCAGAAAAATGCTTTGATGGTGGCGGTTCAACAGGCCTTCTTCTATCAGACCCTGCAAGCAGGATGTCCTTCTGGTGTCAAGGTTAGCCTGGGAGATGCAGAGGCATGGGCACTACCACAGTCAAGGTCAGACCACCCTCTTCTATCCCTTCTCCCTCCCTCCCTTCCTTCCTCCACTTCTCCCTCTTTCCCATCCTCCTTCCCTCCTTCTCTTTTCTTCTTTCTTCCTCTTTCCTATCTGTGTAGGAAAAAAAATCAGACTCGGTTTCTCTTGCTCTATATTTACAAGATAGATCCGTTCTGTGAGCCCAGGAGGTGTGAGGATTTCTTCCAACCAGCAAGCAAGCGATTGAATTAGTTCTGTAGAGGACGCCAGCTGCATATCCTCTAATTCACTTCACTGCTGACTGTGTCTACCTGGAGGTAGTATCCATATCCCAGAGGTTGAGAGCTCAGTCCCTAAGCCTGTTCTCACTTCAGATCTAATTTCAAGTCTGGGTTTCCAGAACTTCTGACCAACTGACTACAAATCGGGGTTCCCACTACCCCTCCTCAAGTTCAATTAATCTGCTAGAGCAACTCACAGAACTCGTGGAAATACTCCATTGCCAATATTGGCCAGTTCATTGTAAAGGGTCGTTTTAGGGTGCAAATGAGCAGCCAGATGAAGAGATGTGTAGGGTGAGGTCTGGAAGGGTCTTGAGCCCAGGAGCTTTTATGTCTGCTGAGTTGGGGTGCGCCACCCTCCTGAACCATGAATGACATCTTCACCTCCCTAGCAGCCTCCACGTGCTCAGCTACCCCGAAGCTCTCCAAACCCTGTCTCTGGGTTGTTATGGAGACTTTATTGCTGATTGAAGCTTGGAAAGCTAAATGGAAAGGTGACTGGACCAAAAGGGTTGAATCTAAATCATTAGCACTGGGAGGGGAAACCAGCAAGGCTCGTCTGTTCAGATTCTTCTGCATATTCCTTCCTCACGGCCCGCTTCTGAAATGGGGTCCTATCATCTATCCTCAGACAAGGCCAGTCAGAAAGTTTCTATGACCCCGGGGCAAAGAAATGCTTGTGTCCACGGCTCGCCTTGGGGAGAAAAAGGAGGAAGCAGAAGACCTGCAGAGGGTGAGGGAGACAGAGAGAGAAAGGGAGGGGCTTCTGAGGCCTAAAGTACCCCCCAACATTATTCTAGTCGCCTAGGAAACAACAAGGCCTATGAGAAGTGTAAGTCAGGAACCATGGAAGGAAAGCAAAACATGTAGTCACCTTTTTTTCCTTTCTTCTTCCCTTCCCTCTTTTGCTCCCTTACATCTTTCCTATTTGTGAATCAATGTATGACCAAGTCCTTATTTGGTCTCTTAATTTTCAGTGATACGCTAATGAATTCTCCTTTGTACTGAACTCTGTATATGGAATGGCTACAACTGTCTATCAGAAAATATCCTATTCCTCAACCCTTCCTCTTTGTAGATAATGATTCCATTATTTTCTGGTCTATCCGTCCTATGATTCTTTCTGCAAAAGCGAGACATGTTTGATTCTTTTTTCCACAAAAGCTACTGTTACACATACTGTTTATTTTTGTTATTGCAATATAATCCATACAACATGTTACATGCCTTTAGTGTGTCTGACTCAGTATTTTTAGTATAGTCACAGGATCATGCCGCTATCACCACCGTGTAATTCCAAACTATTTTCATCATTCCCAAAAGAAACCCTGTACCTACCAGCGCTTGCTCCCCATGCTTCCCTGCCTCAGTCCCTAGCAACCACTAATCTATTTGCTGTCTCTAGGGTTACCTACCTCAACATTTCACATAAATGGAATTATACAACATGTGGCCTTTTGTGTTGGACTTTTTTTTAAATTCAGCATAATATTTTTAGTGTATTTATGTTATGGCACCTATCAGTACTGTATGCCTTTTTATTGCTGTGTAATATCCCATTATACAAGTATACCACTTTTTGTTTTGTTTTGTTTTCTGAGACAGGGTCTCACTATGTAGTTGAGACTGACCTGGAACTCACTATGTAGCTCAGGCTGATCTCGAACTCACAGCGATCCTCCTGCCTCAGCCTCCCGAGTGCTGGTATTACAGGCGTGTGCCACCACGCCCGGTTTATACCACTTTTTAAAATCCATTTGTTGGTTAATGTATGCTGGGTTGCTCTTTACTTTTTAGCTATCAAGAATAATGATACTAAGCTGCGCATGGTGGCGCACGCCTGTAATCCTAGCACTCAGGAGGCTAAGGCAGGAGGATCGCTGTGAGTTCGAAACCAGCCTGGTCTACATAATGAGTTCCAGGTCAGTCTCAACTCCATAGTGAGACCCTGTCTCAACCCTCCCCCAAAAAAGAAAATAATAATAATAATGATGATGATACTGTGAACATTCATGTACAGGCTTTTGTAAGGACTTACGTTGTCGTTTTTCCTGGGAATGTGGAAATGCCAGTTTATTTCGTAACTAATTCTACATTTTGAGAAGCTGCCAAACTATTTCCTAAGTAGCTGTACCATTGCCGTTTCCACGGATGATAGTTCCGAAGTCTCCATGTTCCTCTCAGTGCTTATTATTGTATTTTTTATTTCACTCGTCTCAGTAGGGTATAAAGTAGTATTTCATTGTGGTTTTGATTTACATTCCCCAATTGCTAAGAGGTTGATCATATTTGTATGTGTTCATCTGGCCCTTTATATACCTTTGTCAGGGAAATGTCTGTTGACGTTTCAGGAGGCTTTTTAGAAAATCGGGTGGCACGTTCCACACAGGCTTGGGGCAAAGCCCAAGAATGAGTTGGGGAGGCTGAAGATTCCTACCAGGTTGCCTCCCTCCACTTTCCACCCTTCGGACTTCAGCACCCTGCCGCCCAGCCTCAGTGTGCGCATTCCTCTTCCCGGCCGAGCTCACCACTTCCACCAACGTTCTTGATTCATCTGCTCCCATCTCCTTTGAGACTTTGCTCCGTCGGCTGTCTTCTTCCCTTGCTACACTTCCGACGTTGCCTTTTTTCCTATTTCCCCTTGTCATTTATGGGTACTTTCTCCCTTCCACTGTGGGCAGGCTGAGCAATTTTCATTCTCTCTAAACACTAAACTGGATCCTCTGGCCAGTGCCTTCGGTATGACCTTCCTTCTCATTCATGTTTATTGGAAGGACAGTTTGTAACTCTTGGTATCAGACCACACTTTTCACTATTGCCCAGCTTCCTCTTTTACCTAAGACTGCTCTCAACTAAGGTCAGCAATGACCTTCTGATTATTAAACCCAGAGGACACCATTCAGTCATTCGACCAGATTTCCTGCTGCCGTTTGATGCCATCAGCCACTCCCTTGTCCTTGAACTCCTCTGTTGTCCTCTTACCTGTCTCCTGGGTTACTTTATCACTCCTTGAGATTAAAAACCATCCCATACACCATCAACTTTCAAATCTACATCTTTTCATAGAGCTTCCCTCCCAAGCCCCAAACCTGGGTGTCTAGATGCCTTCTAGACTCGTTTTTAGAAGTACTTCTAGACTGCTTCAACAGACACTTAAATTCAGCATGTCCAAAAGGCAGCTCATCCTCCCTCCGTCTTGTTCTCCCAAGATTTCTAGTTTTGGTTGTCATCACCACTAGAATAGTCATTTGTATTCAAAACCTGAGTTTTGTCCTTCATTCCCTTGACTTCCTTACCTTGAACTGATGAATCAGTCACTATGTCTTGCAAATGTCAAATTCTAAATTTGATTGTAGGTGGCTTTATCTTAGTTACTCTCTCATCATGGAGACACAACACTCAATACCCACAACTTAAGGAAGAAGAGGTTTATTTTGGCTCCGTTTGTAAAGATCCCAGGCCATAGTCAGCTGGCTCTAGGACAGCATGCAGAGGGGAATGGTAGTGCACAAGCGTTCATGACATGACAGCAAGGAAGCAGAGAAACGGACCAAGGGAGGAGGGAGACGACAGACCCTTCCAGGCCACGTCCCCGGTGACCCAGCTCCTCCCACCAAACTTCACCTCCCAGTGTTGCATTTAGCTGTAACTCACCAGTGGACTAAGCCATGAACCCACTGATGAGTGTCACACCCCCGCGATCCGGTCACCTCCCCAGAGCCACACCTATGAGTGCGTGAAGCTTTGGGGGGCATCTACGTATAAACCGTCACAGACCCCTCTGTCTACCCACACTGCTCTAGTTCAAATTCTCATCGTCTCACCTATGTGATTGTGACGGCCTCTGACTGGCCTCCAGCCCTCTTAGTTCATGCCTTACCCCGCTGTAGCTGCTCCCAGTCAAACCTCTCCTCCACAGAATGACCTCAGCAACTGTGTCTCCTTGATTAAAACCCTTCAGTGGCTCTTTGTAGCCCAAGCAGCAAAACTCAACCTCCTTAGCTAGGATGCGAGAATTTTACTTTCCAAACCTAGCTCGCTATCCCCTCTCTTCCAATCAATTAAAACAGTTTCAAATGCCATAGACTTTTCATTCTATCTCATATTTTTATGCTTCTGTTCTTTTTGTCCAAGAGGATGCTGTTCATCCTCCCATGTGCAACTCAGTTATTACATCTTCAGGAAATGTCCACAATTCTTCATTTCGCTAAAGTGAATTTTGTGAGGAGTTCATCATAAAACAATATGTTGTGAATAGGTAGATGACTGATAGACAAATAGGTAGCTTTTCTTACAAGTGTGGAACAAGCAGGGGGATGATGACACAACAAGGAGACATAATGGAGACAGTGAAAGGAGATAAGAGGAAGAGAGAGAGAAAGGGAAGAAAACAAGAACCAAAGTGTGCACTGCAAGCAAAGCCAAAGGAAGGCAATGTTTCCAGAAGGAATGAGTCACCAAAGATGTACAGATGACAAATAAATGTGTGCAAAGGTATTTCACGCCTTTCTTATCAGAGAGATACCATTTAAAATTCCACTGAGGGGCCTGGGATTTAACTCAGTGGAGCCGCTGCCTGCCTCACAAGCACAAGGTCCCAAGTTCTATCTCCGGTACCAAAAAGCAAAAAAACTCTACTGAAAATCCACTCCACACCCATTAGAATTGTTAAAATGTAAAAGACTGACCATTCCAGGTGTTGGTAAGGACAAGGGAGAACTGGAACTCTCACATCCTGCTGATAGGAATAGCACAACCTGCCTCTTCCCTGCGCATCTGTATAAATGGTACAGCCCCCTCTGGAAAGTGATTTGGCAATTTTTTTTTAAAGTTAAACATATACTTACTATATAAAGTAGTCATTCCCCTCCCAGGTTTTTAACCAAGAGAAATGAGAGCATGTGTCCATGCAAAATTTTTTACACAGATATTCGTAGAGCTGTGTTCATAGCAGACAAAAACTGGAAAGAACCCAAATGACCATCAGCAGATGAATGGATAAAAAAAACCGTGGTATGTCCATACAATGGAATGCCTGCTGCTCGGCAACACAAAGAAATAAGCTATGCTAACCATCATGTGGACGAAGCCAAACAAAAAGACAGCTCGTACTACATAACTCCATTTATATAAATTTCTAGGAAACTCATTTTAATCTGTAGTTGCAGAGAGCAGAGTAGTCATTGCTTGAGAAGGAAGTAGGATAGAAGTGTGGCTGTGGCCATTAGTTTGATTGTAGTAATAGTTTCAGAGTTGCATATGTCAAAACGTATCTAATTGCGCCTTTTAAAGTAATGTTTACTAAAAGTCAGTTATTTCCAAACTATTATTTTTAAAAGAATAAGGAAGAACTTGATCAATTTGAATGCACAGGGAAAAACCAGATGGGTGGGGATCACAGATGGGGCCATTTAACAGTCACAAAAGTTCACTGCTGACTCTGAGGGTAGCTCTGCTGCCTGGGTCAGGGTGAAAGCCATAGTGCCAGCTGTAAGAAGCAAGAGGCTGATACAAATATAGAAAGAGTGTGCATATATTGCTTTTACATTCATCTTTTAGGGTTGTCAGTAGCTTAGACTATAGAAATTTATCTTCTTGGCTGGGGATTTGGTTCAGTGGTTCCGCCACCTGCCTCTCAAGCACAAGGGCCTGAGTTCGATCCCTGGTACAAAAAAAAAAGAAAGAAAGAAATTAATCTTCTCACAGTTCTAGAGTCTGAAAGTCTGAGATCAAGGTGCCCACATTTCTGGTTTCTGCTGAGGGCTCCCTTCCTGGCATGAAGCGGGTGGCCTTCTGCTATCTCTTCACATTAGGGAGTGAAGGGGGCCAGGAGAACCAAGTGAGGGAGAGCTCTGAGACCTCTTCCTCTCCTTACTTGGATGCCAACCCTATCGAGTTAGGACCTCCCCTTACAACTTCACGGGACATCTGACCCCTCTCAAAGGCCCCCGTCTCCAAACGCCATCACACTGAGTGTTAAAACTTCAACATAGTAGTTTTTGGAGGGACACCATCATTCAGTCAAAAGAAGTTTGATCAGAGTTGAGGCCAAAATTTGGGAGAGTGAGATGATTAAGGAATAAAAAGATGTGGACACATTTGTATGAAAGCACTGGAAAAAAGAAGCAGCGACTGAGAATAGGAATGAAAGCCCTGAATGGTCAGAAAGGAGAGGGTAGGTGCAGAAGTCAGGGAGTAAGTGTTTTGGATCAGCAGCATCAGGACTCCAGGCTGTCGCGCGCTGACTGACAGAAATAAATGTGGGGTCCTCTCCTGACCCTGTGAGATGGGTTTTGCTCTATGCAAGGAAAATGGGTTCTGAAGTATAAGAAAGAGATGCACTCACCAGCTGGTGTCACCACCAGGATTGTGCAAAGCGTGTGTTCTCCTCTCATCCCACTCAGAGCCGCCCAGGCCTCTCTAGTCTCTTTAACTGGTGTTTATTCCTATTTCCAGCAGGCTGGGATACCCAGAGGGTCTTTGGAAAAAATAAATTTGGGAAATTCAGATTTTTTCGCCTGTGGTATTTTCCTCCCTTACTCTCCATGGGTCTGCTTTAGTAATTCTGATATGGATAATTCCTTATCTGTTTCACTGAAGAAGAATGGCCCTGCTTCTGAAAACCCAACCTTTCCTTTTTAGTTAGTAGTTTAGTGAAATTTATATTTTCTATATTTTTATGTATTTTTAGACTTCCAGCCATATGCCCTGCACCTCCATAACAAATGGAATTGGAATATTGTAAGACACTGATTCTCCTTTTTTCTTCCCCCACTCACCTTTCCCTCTCCCTAACCTCTCCCTCCTTCTCCTTTCCGCTCTTATTCCCCTCTCTTGTCAGTATGATGTGCATGGTAGCATATGGCCCACCTCCTTCTGCTTAGGTGCTTGCAGTTATGAAATCCATCAATAGTCCATCAGTAGTGTTTCTTTCTTTCTTTCTTTTTTTGTTTTTTTTTTTTTTTTTTTTTTTTTTTTTTTTTTTTTTTTTTTGGTATCAGGAATCAAACTCAGGCCCTTGCACTTGCAAGGCAGGTGGCGAAACCACTGAGCTAAATCCCAGGTCCCATCAGTAGTATTTCTTAAGAGGCCACTCCATAAAGATTGTTCCAACCCACCATTTTGTACAATGAAGAATTTTTTTCAGAGGATTTTAGATACCACATTGTGTTCTGAAAATAGTCAGACTCAGTGTCTCACTCCTTTGTTGTACAAAGTAGTAACTGTCTGCCTTCCCTCCCTTCCCTCTTCCCCTTCCAGGAATTTACTTATGGTTGGGATTCATTGTGGTTGTGAGATATTTTGCAGCAAGCGCTACAGAACTTATACAGCCAACAGATTTAATTCACTTTAGTTTAAAATGTTTCAGGAAATAAGTTCAAATCTGAGAAGTCACTGTGGAATGAGTCCAGCCAGAAGAAGTTCCAGAATTCTGAAAGGCATAGGCCTCCCAGATACCCTCGCTAATTCTCCAGAAAGATTTCAAACTACCAAAAGGTACAGTGCCTAGTGGAAGGATTGCTTAAAAACAACAGAAATGTCCTCTTTTCGGTCAGGGATCAAGTGCTATGGAACCGAAGGAGCCTAAGCTCTCAGAGTTACTCACAGGTGTTTCATCTGTGTGAGTGCTTTATCTTTTAAAACCAGACGTGGAGAACTTGTCTGAACAATGAGAAAGCTCAGTTTCTTCCAGTATGCTGTACTACAGTCTGTAAAGGAGAATCAACTTTTCCTAATTTCGGCCCTTTCTTGCCTCTTTGTTTCTCTCCTCTTCTCTTTCCTTCTCTCCTTCTTTCTCTGCATATTTTTCAACCCATTCTTCATGAGCAAGAATAGTTATAGATCACTCCATATTTCCACATGTATGTTAAATTGAGAAGCACAGAACTATTACTATTCTAAGGAAGATTTTGCCACTGTATAATAATAGGATGGTGAGTTATAAGAGAAGCATTGGTCTCCATAGAGACATGTCTATTCATCAGGAATGCCCTGCTATGCCTTGATCTGTTTTCACCATGACAGAGACATTTATTCTGTAATAATTATGATTACTCTCAGTGTTTTATTTGGGGGATACCGAGGACACTATAATTTAATTCCAGCAAATGTAGAATGAAAAACAACAACAGATGAAGAAACTCTACTATTCAAGATGCCATTAACCTGACACATGGCCAGAGTCCAAGTGTCTTTAGTCTACATTTCCAGAGTGAGAGTTTCAGGTCAGTGTGCCTAGTTGATAGGCTCCTTGGGAGGCCATTTCAGCACACGTACCCTATGGTCAAGGTCAGAAGGGCACACTGGGCGGGGCCAGGCTATGACATTTGGGACTAAGGAACAACGACTGATGTATGCCTTAGGGACAGCAGGGCACACGAGGGGCACAGAAGCACATCAGCATCCCAGGTGAATAATTAGGAGCACTTGAAGCAGGAAAGAACCAGGCAGGCAAAGGCAGCTGGCTCCTGTTACCTGAGCTGTCCTTGTGTTACGCGTCCACTCACCTCCACCCCGGGCTCAGGGTCTCTCTTACCTTGTCAGGACTCCGGAAGCTTTTGTGTCTATTCAGCTGGAGAAGGTAGGGCTGCGAGACATGATGCTGAACGCCTTCCTCCTCCAGAAACAGACCATGGGTGACAGAATGAAGAACGCCGTGAGTGTGTAGGGGGAAGAGCTCCCTAAAGCTCTGTTCGCTTTTGTATTTATGCAAATAAAAACTCCTGAACTTGGAATCTTGCTTTTAACCTATTTGAGTAGACCTGAAAGTAAGCTGTGAAGAACTGAAAAGGGATGCGCAATAAGAAAGAGTACCAGTTCGAGACAATGATAGTCAGGATTTTAAAAGTGCATGTATTTTCGAAAGGTCGCAGTTGGTTTTGGCACTGTCGAATGGGACTTGTTTCAGCACCTCTCCCGGAACATTTCTGTACTGTTGGGCCACCCACAGGGGTTCTGGTGGTTTAGCACAGGCTCTGGCAATCTGGTCACCTTTTATCTTGGTTTTTCAGGCACCATTGACATGTTTCTAATATCAGCCTAATCCATTGAAACTACTATAAAATTCCAGCTTTTAACCAGTTAAACTCTCTGCTTACTTATGCAGCTATCAGTTCGTTATTCATCAGTTTTTTTAATGAGGAAATCATCATGCTAAGGTATAGTTGTTTGGGAGAAAAAATGATAACATTTAAAATCTCTGGACTTTGTCCCTACATGTGAGTGGAAAGGAAGCACTGGGCCTGGTCCAGTTCTGCAAATGGGACATAATGGAGGCTAGAATTTCTAATTACTGATGAGCAATGTCAGAGGCAAAGGGCCCTTCTTTTTTTTTTTTTTTTTTTTTTTTTTTTTTTTTTTTTTTTTTTTTTTTTTTTGCCAGGGATTGAACTCGGGTCCTTGCACTTGCAAGGCAGGCCACCAAACCGCTGAGCTAAATCCCTAGTTTAAGGGCCCTTCTAATAAGCAATTCTGAAAAAAAAAATGACCAAGTGGAAAATACAGCATTTCATTAACTACCCTTCAGAATTACCCAACACTTTCTAGATTAGAAAGAGTTTGGGCAATATAATGATCATTTTCATTAGGGCCTTATTTTAGAATACTTGCAAGTTAGTAATTTAATCGGTTACTCTTCCATGGCTGCTGGAAGAAGACCCAAAACTCCTAAGCCAGAGACAGAGAACTTTATTACGCACAGCAGAGCAGGCAACATGAGCTTCATTTTTGTTCAGTTCCCTCAGACTAAGTCCCATAAGGACAGCACGAAGGAGCTTACCTGTGGCCAGTGGGTTTGTGTAACATATGAAAAACACTGAGCTATGGGGAACCCACCTCTTTGATAGCGAGCCTGCTCGTTTCCCTAAAGGGAGATATCACCTCAGCCCTCAAGATTGCTCTCTGCAAACACAACCCTGAAAAACAGTCCAAGTAAAGATCAGTCAAGGCCTCGCATACTCCACATGCTCAACAAGATATGTAGAAACAGAAGTGAACCATAAAAGACTATTTCCCCACAAGTTTACCTCCAGAAAGAATGTCTCGACTGGGTGGCCTTTCCCTGCTTAAAGTCGGCTATGCATTTGTACATGAGGCTAGGTTGTCCTCGCATTCAACTGTCTCATGGGAGAACCATCATTCTCTTTTGTCACAGGATGCGATTGGAAAGGTCAAGAGGGACGTTATAACTGAATACTGTCAAAGGTAAGTAGAGTGTGTTTGAATAACACAAGCCGACTTCTTTAACCAGTGCGTTATGTAAAATGAGTCAAGTGGTTTGCGTTTTAATAAACCACAGGCATATTGGATAGAATCAAGCTAAAATGTCCTCTCACTTGAGGAGAGCCTTGGAAGTGAAGGAGAGGGGGAAAAGGTTCATGCCTCTGCTTTCAGGCAATACCAACCTGCTTCAGATGGAGATTTCTATTTGTCAGAGATGCTTCATTCTCTTTGAAGTGTCCTCCAGGGAAGAGTACCCTGAAACTTCTGCAAGAGATGGAACAACTTGGATTCTCTTTCGGGGCATCATCTCTTCCTTTTCACTTTCAGATTTAACGACCACATGTCTCATTATGCTCTTCGGGGTCAGATCATGGCATACTGCAATAGCCTGAGAGCTCTGCTAGAAGATTTTCCTGTTATCAGGGACACTTTCTTCATGGTGGGACAACCACAAGAAAAGAAGGAGTCCAGGGATTCCAAAGAGGGCCTCAAGGCTGACCCCCGGTATGTAAGTCTTTTAAAGTGTGTTGCTCTGCCCTACCTCTCCACTGGAAGAGTTGTGTTAAGTTTAGTATAAAAAGCTTTCCTGCTATAGTTTGAACATTAAGTATTCCCAAAGGTCTGTGTGATGAAAGCCTGCTCCACAGAGTTGCACTATTGAGAGGTGGGGTAGCATCTAAGAGGTGAGGCCTGGTGAAAGGTGTTTAGGCCATTGAGGTTGTGCCCTTAGGAAGGATCATGGGGGTCTTGAGAGCTTCCTCTTCCTCTCTTCCACTTCCTGTCCATGAAGTGGGAGGTACTGTTCCAGCAGATACTCCTCCCATAGTGCACTGCCTCACCCAAAGCAACTAGGTCAACTGATCATGGACCGAAACCTCTAAAACTGTGAGCCACAATAAATTCTTTTCTTTATAACTGGTTAGGTGCTAGTTATAGTAATAAAAATCTGATGAACATACTTTGCTCCCCATACTTCACTTGACCTTGATCTTCTGGTCTAGAAAGGCAAAAGGAAAACTAAATACTCCAAGAATAAGAGCAGCTTTGTATTTGAATCTGGAATGATTTCTTTGTTTATAGGCTGTTTGGTTTGTTTTGTTTTGTGCGGCTCTCTGGGGGGACCCCGTCCCGCGGGGAATAGGAGGTGAGAGCCGCCTCTTATTCGTGGGTCATCAGAGGCCGATCCGATCTTGAATGTCTGTGGAGGAAATCTTTAAGAAGTTAGAGTACACGGCCCAAGTCTGGTTTCTGATCAAAGGCGCTTTATTGGCTCAGCAAAACGATTATATACTGTTATCCCAGGGGGAAGGTTCAGCAAGCTTATTGGACAGCTCAAGCAAATCCTCTACCAATCACATGAGTCATTCAAGCATTTAACCATACAGCAATCAGTATTTTACCAAATGTGGGGAGGGGTAAGTGCACAATCCCTAGGGGCAAGTAGGACGGGGGAAATACCACCTGCTTCCTGCTCCAGATCCGGTGACCCTGTGGTTAGCACAAAGGGCTATTCTTTCTGTAAGATTTCCTGTTTGCCCAGGGGCTAGACCTGCCAAAGGTCACGTATGTAGTCTAGTGGGATTTTTCCACCGAGGCAAAGGCTAAGGTTGAGGGCAGCCATCTTATGCAGGCCCAAGCAGTCTCTCACAGTTTTGTTTTTTTCAATCGATGCAGTTTTGTTTTCCCTGGGGAAGCTCAAAGATTTTCATCAATCACAACCTTTTATATAAATGAGCTTCTAAAAATAAATAAGCTTGGTTTTGACCTGTCCAAGCTTTAAATATTCTATTCAGTGGGGTAGAAGAAATACCGAGGAGAGAAGAAAAATAAAAACAAAAACCTGATAAACCAGTGCCTTGAACAAAGTAGTGTCCTGTTTTGCTTTGATTCAATAGAGATAGAGACCGTGATGAGAAGAGCTGCCTCTGTACTTCCTTAGCATGCTTTGTCTCGTTTTCCAAATGTCTACCTGGAGTTCACCCACCTAGCAGGAGGAGTTAGCACACCTGTGTGGTCCTAAGAATGTTTCCTTTTTTAAAGAGGGGATGAGGGCCGGGGATTTAGCTCAGTGTCACTGTGCCTGCCTCGCAAGAGCAAGGTGCAGAGTTCGATCCCCGGTACCAAAAGTAAATAAGTAAAAAATAAAGGGGGGATGGACATGGTACATAGCTATGTGCTATCTGGGCAGAGGAGCCCGCCTTAGTCTTTCTCTTAGAAATTTCAGCAACAGTAATACTTTAAATATATATATATATACGATCATAGACTGAAAAGAGGAAGAGGATCGAAAGATCCTTTGCACCACGCCACCCTTTCATGCGTTCCTTCATGCACGCACCGCACTGTACGACCATCATTTGTTCCGTGTTCACCAAGTACCAGGGCCTTTGCTACGTGTTGCTTACAAGAGTAAGTCATTGACTGGCAATAAATCAAATCTAGCAGGGAAGCTCCATAAAGCGGCAGCAAGTCCCTCCAGAGATGTTACATGTTACATGACGGAGGCGTGTGGGAGTTCCTGTGGGGGCACAGAGGACGGACTGTTGAACTTTACCCCAGGGCCCCGGGGAGAAATTCAAAGAGGAGATGACAGGAGAGTTGGAGTTCTCTCAAGAAAACGGAATGGCAGAAGCTAGAGAAGGCAAGACGTCAAAGTCCTTGATCCCTTGACTAACTGATAGCTGTTCATCCACAGAGCGGCCAGTCCTCGGCGCCCAGTTTTAGGTACCAGTGTTTTGCTTTATGAGCTCGGCCAGTGCTTTCCCTTGGGTAGACTTTGGGATTTACTTAAAGAAAGAATGTGCTTGAGAGAAGAAGGGGCAAAGACATTTCAGCGGTTTATTTTGTTGACAGGGTTGACTGGACACCTGATGCTCAGTGAGGCTGGAGTGAATGCATCGTCCTCTGACACAGTAGCAAGAGAATCCTCTAAGACTTCTTAGCTCCATTATTTTATTACCCTCCATCCAAGTGGACTCCTGATAAACCCAATCCACATTTGCGATTAGACTTTAAAAGTTCTTTTCCGAAGTCTACCCATGAATTGACTACCTTTGTGTTTAGAATGAGCGGTATTCGGGAAGTCTATTTTGTTTCTGATCCATTTGATTTGCAGCAACCAAACAAGGAAGTCTGGATGTAGCTGGGGGAAAATATCTTTTTACCTGGCAGGTCTGGAAGCTTTTCCCGGAGTTTCTTACAGATGACTGTGTTTCCTAATGATGAAGGGAAGCAGTCATTTAAGCTAGAGAGCCTGGACTCTTGAGTCATCTGGTTGGTTAATGTATGATAAATTCGGGGAAGTGTTCTGGGCCAAGAAAATGTAAACAAAGCACTCATTTAGAACCGAAGTCACCGAGCAGTTCAAGGGATGAGCTCTGGTTGACAAAGATTCAGTGTTTCTTCACTACACCTATCTCCTGCTTCCTAAACTTTCTAGATAATAGTACGTTCCTTCTAATATATTCATTTCTAGGAATATAGAGAAACTTCCATCTTATATGGAAGTTCAGAAAAACATGCTGTATAAGATTCTTTCTAACTCTAAACTCTGTGGTTCCACATAATGAATACCTATGGATGAAAACATCAGCAGGTTAGTGTTGTGTTACTGTAGCAAAATCCAGGAGCAAGCTAGCTTTTTACATTTTAATCATGAAGTTTATTAGCTTACAGTTTTGGAGATGCACAGGCCTGGCACCAGCATCAGCTCAGCTCTGGTGGGGCCCTCTTACTATATCGAATCACAGTGGGATGCTGTATGTAAAAAAGAAATTACATTTAAAAAAACAGGGGTTTTTAGCTAAGTGACATCATGCCTGCCTCACAAGTGCAAGGTCCTGAGTTTGATCCCCAGTACCAAAATATAATAATAATAATAATAATAATAAAACAAAATAAAAAACCAGGAAGGCAGATAGATACTCTGGTCCCACAGTCCCTTCCAAGGACAGACCCCCAGTTCACCTAAGCACCTCCTGTGGCCTCTCCTTTTAAGAGTCCTACCACCTCCCTCTAGTAGCACGCTGGGGACCAAACCTCCAACACACAAAGCCTTGGAGAGACAATTTAAACCAAATCTAAACCATAACTATCGGTCACAGAAAAGCAGCTGAGCAAGTCACAACTAGGACTTTTACCTCGCTCAGTTGTATATTACCCTGAGGTCTTGGGCAAATCAGGAATCTTCAACCTCTAGGCTCTGTCTCTTCCCATAAGTGAGGAAATTAAAGCAGCTTTCTGAAGTTAAACATGCATGATTCCAAGAAATAGAACTTCTAGGGAAAAATATCCCAGACAGGGCCATTTTGATGGCTTCCTGTGAGATATTGAAGGGGAATCATCCCAGCAAAGTTAACCAGAGATAAAGGGACAGAGTTGAGAAATGAGGTGATGTGGAAGAAAGTCCTCAGCTCACTCATAAAACAAGGGATGGGCTATGTTGGGAATAGGAGATAAGCTTTATTTTAAATCTCAGCACCAACAATTTATTAGTTGTCTGCTAGGATCATGAGACATCTCCCATTTGCAAGAGTGTGCCAATTGATTGCAAAATCTGCCATCGTCAAGGAAAGGGAAAGATGTAGCCTCCCTCTTAAATAATTGCCATCCCCAACCAGAAAGCCCCATGAATTCTGTAGATTTAAGATTCCAAGCAGCAACTCGACTCTTCAGTGACTGCTATGTGCTGTGTTCAGTTTAGCAGCGTCCTTCCTGGAGTCCTCTGTGGAAGATGAGCTGTAAAGGGGGAGCTCTCTTCCCAGGAGCCCCTTGAGGCTTCCATTGCCTTCGTGTTCCAGAGGAGATCAGCGTCTGGAGATTAGGATGATGCTCGGCTGCAAGTTAAGGAACAGCGGCACTGACTGATGGAGGAGCTGAGAGAGAAAGAGAGAGAGAGAGAGAGAGGGAGAGGGAGAGGGAGAGAGGAGAGAGGTTGAACACTTACTCTGTGACAAATACAGCCACTGTCATCCTATACTGTTCTTTTATGCAGATTTAAAGGTGCCCCTTCTTCTGGGCACATTAGCCCCACACCAGGGTGCAGGGTTTGGCAAGTAAATTTACAGGCTGGATCTTGGCCACTGCTGGTTGCCTCAGGACACAGCTTAAACAGCAGAACTTGACAGTCTTAGCACCAAGTGCTGTACAACAAAGAAATAGCCATGGTCTCTGTCCAGCAAGGGAAAATAGATAATAACAGCACACTCTGATGAAGAACAAACCACAGGAAATGTTTAGCAAAAGCACACAGCGAGCCTTGCACTGTATTATCTGAGGAAAAGGGCCTGGGTACAAGGAAGGTTTCAGGGAAAAGGGAATGCTTAACCTGGGTCTTCAGTGACGAATAGTGCTCTAGGGGTGAGACAGGAAATCCGGCTCACACTAGAAGAGCCACAGGGGCAAAGGCACAGAAATATGAGGGTGTGTGTGGACTTCTGCAGGGCTCATCTCAGGGTGTGTGAGGACAGCAGTGGGAAGGGGAAGATACAGAGGGTGGGTGAGATCCAGAAGTGTGGAGTTTGTCCTTCACAGGGAAAGAAGCAGGATGATTATCAGTGACACCACTTAGAAAGTTTCTAAAGTTGTGTAGAGGACAGGTATTTAGGGGGTGAAATCAGCAAGGCCAGCTGCCAGAGTTGATGTTGAGCTGGGGAAGGAAGAGGAATCCAAGATGTCGTGTCATTCACAGTCTCAGGCTTGGGTGGGGGGAAAAAGACATCATTATTGTTTAAAGGAAGAGAGTTTAAATTTTGGAAAATTAAAAAAAAGTTCTGGAGCCGGGCATGGTGGTGCATGCCTGTGATCCCAGCACTCAGGAGGCTGAGGCAGGAGGATCGCTGTGAGTTCAAGACCAGCCTGGGCTACATAGTGAGTTCCAGTTCAGTCTCAACTACATAGCTACATAGCGAGACCCTGTCTCA